CCCCCCCCCCCCCCCCCTAGGGGCCTCCTTTTTGGTACCGGCTATTTTTTTCGAAAAAACGGTAAATGGGTTAAGGGGGGGATTTATGGTAATTTAAAAAAAAAAAAAAACCCCCAAAAAAAATCTTCTCTGGTTGTAACGAGTGAGGAAAAGAAGAAGAAGAAGAAGAAGAAGAAGAAGAAGAAGAAGAAGAAGAAGAAGAAGAAGAAGAAGAAGAAGAAGAAGAAGAAGAAGAAGAAGAAGAAGAAGAAGAAGAAGAAGAAGAAGAAGAAGAAGAAGAAGAAGAAGAAGAAGAAGAAGAAGAAGAAAAAAAAAGAACAAGAACAAGAACAAGAACAAGGAGAACAAGAAAAAGAAGAAGAAGAAGAAATCGGTTGAATTCTGAATAATATGCCCTAAAGGCATGTTTAAGCGAAGAAATATCGCGATTTGATGCTAGTGAGTTCCTCCATTTCCATATCTACGTGACGTCACCGACACCTGTGCTATGTTCGGGCAGGTGAACAAGTCAATAAACTGCATAAACAGGTTTTATAATCACGATTAATCCAAACCGAAGCCGACAAGAGTCGTGAGTGTGTCCGTGATGTCACAACGGATTAGGCTTCCGTGACAGGGGCGACAAGCGACTACAAAGACCAGGTAACTGATCGACTCCTGACCGTAGCGATATAAAGAACCCTTAGACGTCAAGTGAACGGATTCCTGTTTGACAGCGGATATAAAAATCTGCAATGTTGTAACGATCGAAGAAGTCCCGAGAGCAGGAAATAGATGAATAGACACCAGATGGATGAATAGGCAGCATCTTTGTCCCGAGCAACCCCAGGAGAGGAGAGGGGAGAGCGAAGGTGTCGTCAGAATGTCTGACTCATAAATGTCAGCCCAAGACTCGGACACTAACAATACATCTCTGGTCTTTGATTACTAAGCTATGCCTACTGACCACAGGTATGGTTTTGTGTCTTCCTTGTGTATATTTGGAAGCGAGATGTCAAATCTCTCTCTCTCTTTCTCTCTCTCTCTCTCTCTCTCTCCCCCTCTCTCTCTCTCTCTCTCTCTCTCGCCCTATTTCTCTCTCTCTTTCTCTTTCTCTTTCTTTCTCTCTCTCTCTCTCTCACACAGACTCTCTCTATCTATCTCTTTAGTTGTCCAGGTGTATAAAACTCGCGTATGTGTGAGAGAGAAGGCAGAGTGGGATTTGGCCCTGGAAGCGGTGCAGTTGAGCGGTCCATCTTGAGATTATCTCACTCAAAGCTCTAAAGCTTAACGCATTGTCTTCATCGCACCATTCATCAACAGCAGTTTATCTTCGGTTCCCCTTTTACGGTGAAGAAAAGATAAAGGCTGATCTGACCGAGTTTTAAATTATTCCTTGCAGGTGAAAGTGAATCATAGAAAAAACCTAACAAGGGACTTGGCCAGACTGAAATAATGGATCGAAGGTGCCTATACGTGATCCTGATGTTGGAGGTGAGACTTTTGTTTCTCTAAAAGTAAAAGCTGTGATGAATTACTTTGACATGAGATCATTTTCGTCATTCTAAAAGCTGTAATGAATTACTTTGACATGAGATCATTTTCGTCATTCTAAAAGCTGTGATGAATTACTTTGACATGAGATCATTTTCGTCATTCTAAAAGCTGTAATGAATTACTTTGACGTGAGATCTTTGTCTCTCTCTCTCTCTCTCTCTTTCTCTCTCTCTCTCTCTCTCTCTCTCTCTCTCTCCCTCTCTCTCTCTCTCTCCCTCTCTCTCCCTCTCTCTCCCCCCCCCTCTCTCTCTCCCTCTCTCTCTCTCTCTTTCTCTCTCTCTCCCTCTCCCCCTCTCTTCCTCTCTCTCTCTCTCCCCCCTCTCTCTCTTTCCCTCTCCCCCTCTCTTCCTCTATCTCTATCTCTCTCTCTCTCCCCCTCTCTCTCTAACTTCCCCCTTCTCTCTCTTTCTCTCTCTCTCTCCATCTCTCTATCTCTCTCTCTCTCTCCCCTCTCTCTGTCTAAAAGCTATAAAGAATTACTTTGACGTGAGGTCTTTGTCTCCCTAAAAGTTGCAATGAATTAATATTTGTTTCTCTTAAAGCTGATGTGAATTGTTTTAGCTCTAAAATATGTGGTGAACTGTTAAAAGTGAGTTCTTTGTGTCTCTAAAGACGGTTATGAATTATTTTGAGGTGAGATCTTCGTCTCTCTAAAAGACACGAAGCATGAATTATTTGAGGTTCGTTCTTAATCTTTCTAAAACTAAAAGCTATGACGGATGAGGTGTGAGCTGTGTCTCTCTTAAAGAGTCAATTAAGTATTTGAGATGAAATGGTTATTATCGCAATATATCTCTCTTAAAACAGTAACAAATTATTTGAGGTCAGAGTTTTGTCTCTGTAATATAATGTGTAATGAGTGAATAATTTCAGGTGATTTCTTTGTCTCTCTAAAAGCTTGGATGTGTGAATTATTTCTGGTAATATGTAATTCTCACTGAAAGCTGTAATGAATTATAGGAGATACATTATTTGCCTTCCTTATTGGAAGCTGCAGTGAATTGTTTGATGTTGAATATATAATTATATCTCTAATATGATATCTGTCTGTCTGGTTATGCGTACAATGTGTAAGCATATTTCCCCGTCAATACCAAGTAAATAAATAAATAAATATATATATATATATATATATATATAGATAGATATATATATATATATATATATATATATGCATATATATATGTATAATGTATATACACAACAAAATGAAATTAATAAATAAAGGAATGAATAACTGAATAAATTAATAAATAAATACAGATAGATGTATCTATATAAAGAAATAAATAAAGATAGATATATTGAAAAAAGAAAGAAAGAAAGACAGATAGGTAGGTAGATCGATGTATAGATAGATAGATAAATAGGTAAATAGAAAGATAGATAGATAGATAGATAGATAGATAGATAGATAGATAGATAAATAGATAGATAGATAGATAGATAGATAGATAGATAGATAGATAGATAGATAGATAGATAGATAGATAGATAGATAGATAGATAGATAGATAGATAGATAGATAGATAGATCGATCGATCGATAGATAGATCGATCGATCGATCGATAGATAGATAGATAGATAGATAGATAGATAGATAGATAGATAGACAGACAGATAGATAGATAGATAGATAGATAGATAGATAGATAGATAGATAGATAGATAGATAGATAGATAGATAGATAGATAGATAGATAGATAGATAGATAGATAGATAGATAAATAGGTATTACATCAAAGTGCTGTAGTAAATCATTTGAGATTACTCTTTTACCTTCTAAAAGCGTGATGATTGAATTTTTTAGGAGATCCTTACCTCTCTAAAAGCTGTGATGAATATTATTATATTGGAGCTGAAATTATCAGTTTCTCAAAAGCTATAGCCAGAGGACATTATAAGTGACACACTTAATAAATTATGGAAACTTTTTGCTTCCTGTTTATGTCGTTTTTTCAACTGCATGTCAGGGAAATTTCGAAATCAAGACACTTCGCCTTCGGAGAAGGCACTCTAATCACGCTGTAAGAAAAAATAAACAGTAATATTTCTAGAG